GTCTCTCAGATGGATTCTTTATAGTTCCCATTTGATTTATTAGCGTAGTCCTACTTTATCAAATAGTACAGATCGAAGAGTGGGGTCCCGTAGGGGATGACGAACAAAGGTCTATACACATATATTAGTCTTAAGTCTTTTCGAACTCTTTCCTCTTCTATTTGTAATAGCCTGGGTTTTAACACTCTTTCAGTAATAAAATAAATAAATAAATAAGTAAATTATATGTTTTCGTCAGACTCAAAATATTCCTTAGCGTTTTTAAGTGCTCTTCTCCAAAGTCCCACAATAACTTTTGAAGAAATTTTTTCTTTAAATGCATTTAGTAGTGTATTTCTAACAGATAAAAGGTTTGGATGTGGGCCTGAACGTGCAACTTCACCCTTTACAACTGACCAAACACCTTCAATAGGTTGCAGTTCGCAATGGTAAGGAGGGGTAAAATTAATTTCATGTTCATACTGTTCTGCAATTTTAACACAAGCAAATGGGACCTTTTCTTTGTTCATTCGAACTAGCTCCAAAAGTTCTGGTTTTCTTAATTCATCAGAAAAAGCAATATCATGTGCATGTAACCAATCAATAATTTCTTGCTTTTTTGTATTCGAAGTTGGAGAGTTTTATGTGGTGTAAAAGTATTGTCACCACGACTCTTCCAGTCTGACACCACCCGCGCAACTGTACATTCCCCTATGCCCAACACCTCAGCAACATGCTTGCGTAGTGTGACCTTCTGATGATCCTCCTTTTTAGAGTTAGCCCCCGAAAAATAATTGTAAACATTAATAACCATCAACTTTTCATTGTCGGTTAATGGTGCACCACTCCGTTTTGTAGAGGAAATATCCATGGTAAAGTAAGATAATGTTAGTAAAAAATGTTTATTCGAAGTCATTTTAATATATATTTTTTTTTCAGCCCACTTTGTTTTGGTCGCACAGTATTTGTCTTGGCGTAGATCATTTCCTTTTTGGGCGAGGTATCAATCTTTTTGCAACGGCCCATAATAAAAAAACCTGTACTATGGAACGGATTACTGTATTAGTTTGTCCCGAATAATATGAAAACAGCTGTAAAAATAAAATCCCGGGCGACGGCTGGGTCAAAAAAAAGACAAATTGTGATATGTGTGATATGAAAACCGAATTTATAACTTTGCGCCGCCTTATTAATACATTGATTTAATGGACGAAACTATCATTAAAATATATCGCGTTAAATATTTTAAGTAGTTCAAATGAATATTTAAAGATGTTTATTAATATAACAAATTATTGGATAAAACTAAATTTAAAAAAATAACAAAAATTTGTAGATTTTTAAGTGTGCTACTCGTAAATATACCTAATAATTCTGTTTTCCGCAAGTACTTATATTAAAATTTAGAGAAATTTTAAGTAAATTCGAGAATAACCAAAATTCTATTTGGTAACCAGCTCTATCACTGCGTATAATGGATCGTAAAAAAAATCAAAGGGAAGAAATATGAGATTTTCAAAGTTTGAGTTAGAAACTTAGAGATAATGGCATCACAGCTCTTTTTTTTTTGTTAAAAAAAAAAAAGTTATTAATATATAGTTTTTAAGATGTAGATATTACTAAAAAAGAAAATTATAAATTGTTTAATAAATATTTAACAAGAAGCATTAATATTGTTTTAAAAATTGTTATTAAAGAAGTGAAATACGAATTATACTTTACAGACATATGAATCTAATTATGTTCCAGGTTAGCATCTGTTCAACACAATTATTGCTAATGACAAAAAAGTTGCTTTTAGATTGCACATTCCTGGTAGAAGATCTGAATTTTTGGGTCACGAGAAACCATCGAAGCTGCATATCGGGTGATTTTTTTGAAGGTGTCACTAAGAACTTGGAGACAATATAACGAAACCTGTAAATTATAAGATTTATAAACCTCCAAAGATCACATTCATATTATTATACAATTGCCTGTCATTACTTCTCGTTTTAACTAAAAAAGATTTTGTATATTTTAAAAATATTTTTCCTGATGGTCTCGACCTCCAGACTTTCCCCAATGCTTTGCCGCCAAGATATATATTTGACTCCAAGATTATTAATTACTACAGATGTTGCATTAATAGCAAGTTGGATTGATAAGAAAAAGGAACACCTTATCATTTTAAAGACTGTCTCTTATACACATCTAGATGTGTATAAGAGACATTCTTTATAGTTCCCATTTGATTTATTAGCGTAGTCCTACTTTATCAAATAGTACAGATCGAAGAGTGGGGTCCCGTAGGGGATGACGAACAAAGGTCTATACACATATATTAGTCTTAAGTCTTTTCGAACTCTTTCCTCTTCTATTTGTAATAGCCTGGGTTTTAACACTCTTTCAGTAATAAAATAAATAAATAAATAAGTAAATTATATGTTTTCGTCAGACTCAAAATATTCCTTAGCGTTTTTAAGTGCTCTTCTCCAAAGTCCCACAATAACTTTTGAAGAAATTTTTTCTTTAAATGCATTTAGTAGTGTATTTCTAACAGATAAAAGGTTTGGATGTGGGCCTGAACGTGCAACTTCACCCTTTACAACTGACCAAACACCTTCAATAGGTTGCAGTTCGCAATGGTAAGGAGGGGTAAAATTAATTTCATGTTCATACTGTTCTGCAATTTTAACACAAGCAAATGGGACCTTTTCTTTGTTCATTCGAACTAGCTCCAAAAGTTCTGGTTTTCTTAATTCATCAGAAAAAGCAATATTATGTGCATGTAACCAATCAATAATTTCTTGCTTTTTTGTACTCGAAGTTGGAATACTTTCAACTCTTCGTTTGTGATAGCTTGCCCCATCCATGTGAATACATACAGACCCATATTTTTCTTGAAGTGTTTTGCAAAGAGTTGAAAAAAGGTTTTCAAAAATTTCTGCAGTAAAATTTCCGTGATAATCTATTTGGTTAGGGACAATATTTGCTTCTTTAACAACATCAGGAATATCATTCCATTCTTCAGCATTATTTCTCCTTCTTCCTCTGTTACTTGGAGGTTTAATTGTTGGGTCCCAAATATGAACAGAGTTAGGAACAAGTTCACCATCCAGCTTGTTGGAAGATCCATTTCGGAATACAATAATTGCTCCAAAAATTACCACTAACGGACCATGACCAGGTGCTAAAACAACACCATGATGAGGAACCCATGTATTGCGAGTATTGTGATGCAAATGACAATATGATTCATCAAGAAAAACTTCTGGACGACTTGGAACATCATTTTGGCCTTCTAAATTGGCAAAACGAAAACGTAAATAACGGCTACGGAAGGCAACATTGTTTGGTGACTCATGAAGAAGATTTCTACGCTCTCCTTGACCATAATAAAAGCCCAACTTGTGTAATATTCAAAAAAGCTTCCACCTAGACAAGTCATATCCCTTTTCAGCAAGAAATTGTTGTAAGGTATGTGTAGAAAGTTGCTCAGCAGTTTTATTAGCATTTAAAATTTTTGTGCGCAAAATTTCTGAAAGGTTTTCGTCAGGTTGTAATTTAGGTCGTCCGAGGGTTTTATGTGGTGTAAAAGTATTGTCACCACGACTCTTCCAGTCTGACACCACCCGCGCAACTGTACATTCCCCTATGCCCAACACCTCAGCAACATGCTTGCGTAGTGTGACCTTCTGATGATCCTCCTTTTTAGAGTTAGCCCCCGAAAAATAATTGTAAACATTAATAACCATCAACTTTTCATTGTCGGTTAATGGTGCACCACTCCGTTTTGTAGAGGAAATATCCATGGTAAAGTAAGATAATGTTAGTAAAAAATGTTTATTCGAAGTCATTTTAATATATATTTTTTTTTCAGCCCACTTTGTTTTGGTCGCACAGTATTTGTCTTGGCGTAGATCATTTCCTTTTTGGGCGAGGTATCAATCTTTTTGCAACGGCCCATAATAAAAAAACCTGTACTATGGAACGGATTACTGTATTAGTTTGTCCCGAATAATATGAAAACAGCTGTAAAAATAAAATCCCGGGCGACGGCTGGGTCAAAAAAAAGACAAATTGTGATATGTGTGATATGAAAACCGAATTTATAACTTTGCGCCGCCTTATTAATACATTGATTTAATGGACGAAACTATCATTAAAATATATCGCCTTAAATATTTTAAGTAGTTCAAATGAATATTTAAAGGTGTTTATTAATATAACAAATTATTGGATAAAAATAAATTTAAAAAAAATAACAAAAATTTGCTAATAATTCTGTTTTCCGCAAGTACTTATATTAAAATTTAGAGAAATTTTAAGTAAATTCGAGAATAATCAAAATTCTATTTGGTAACCAGCTCTATCACTGCGTATAATGGATCGTAAAAAAAATCAAAGGGAAGAAATATAAGATTTTCAAAGTTTGAGTTGGAAACTTAGAGATAATGGCATCACAGCTCTTTTTTTTTTATTTTTTTTAAAAAAAAGTTATTAATATATAGTTTTTAAGATGTAGATATTACTAAAAGAGAAAATTATAAATTGTTTAATAAATATTTAACAAGAAGCATTAATATTGTTTTAAAAATTGTTATTAAAGAAGTGAAATACGAATTATACTTTACAGACATATGAATCTAATTATGTTCCAGGTTAGCATCTGTTCAACACAATTATTGCTAATGACAAAAAAGTTGCTTTTAGATTGCACATTCCTGGTAGAAGATCTGAATTTTTGGGTCACGAGAAACCATCGAAGCTGCATATCGGGTGATTTTTTTGAAGGTGTCACTAAGAACTTGGAGACAATATAACGAAACCTGTAAATTATAAGATTTATAAACCTCCAAAGATCACATTCATATTATTATACAATTGCCTGTCATTACTTCTCGTTTTAACTAAAAAAGATTTTGTATATTTTAAAAATATTTTTCCTGATGGTCTCGACCTCCAGACTTTCCCCAATGCTTTGCCGCCAAGATATATATTTGACTCCAAGATTATTAATTACTACAGATGTTGCATTAATAGCAAGTTGGATTGATAAGAAAAAGGAACACCTTATCATTTTAAAGATTTACCTTTTAAATTTAATCGAATCTGTTATTTGTCGTGCTAGTCGCGATGGTTTTGTGATTGATAAATTCCATAAACATTGCGATAATAAGGGACCAACTGTTCTTATAATTACACCCGAGAGATTGGTGGATATAATCCATTAGAATGGTGTCATACAAAAATGGTAGCAGATGAAAGATCTCGTAACCACCAAAAAATTATCAATGTAAAACGTCAAATAATTTTCATTAACAAATCGATTTAATCCTATATTAAGTCGAGTCAATTTTGAAAAGGAAGCAATCATTTGGAGTAAAATGAGGGACTATATTTTTGGTTACAAGATTTGTATATCAAATCATCAGGATCTTTTATTAATAATATTGTTGGTAAAAAGCAAGCAACATTCATATGAAAAGAAAATTATTAATAGAGAAACTTTTGAAATGGAGGAATATGAAGTATTTCAAGTTATTGATAATAGATTATCTACCTTTATATTTAGTTAGGTTTCAAAAGATTTTTATTCTTATAATTCTGTGTTTATATTGGCTTTATTCTAGAGGTACTAGGAGTTTTAGACATCGATTGTACATCACTAATATTTTTGAAAATATACTGTAATAAGTTACGCAGTAATGGGTTTTTCGGTTAGTGATGTAATGATTTATATACGCCCACAGAAATAGTATATAAAATTTGACGTCATATATACAAGATTACGACATTACGTGAGAAATTATTGCAAACACATGTCTATTTTCTATACTATCGGAGTTTACATGTTTGTAACATGACTCATCATGGTTAAGTAAAATATAGTATAAAATAACCACTTTTTTCTCTTTATTCTCTTCAACTCCTCTCTCCTTTTTTATTCCTTCTCGCTTTTCTTTTTCTTTTATTCATTTTTTTCTTGTTAAGTATGGTAATAGGTAAGGTGCAACCAACTCCACATCTCATTTTAAACCGTAGGTACGACCAACTTCACGTTAAAAACTTTAAAAAAGCTAAAGCCATACTTAAACAAATTTTTCTAATAAAATTGAGTCGAGAAACCTGTGTTTATTGCTCGTTCGACTTTCCCACATTACGTATATATACGTACGTATTTTATGTATGTATGTACATAGTACGTATTGTGTATATATGTAAACCAAATAATTAGATGGGGGGATGAGAAAGCTTATTTTTGATTTTACAAAAATAATTTCTTTCTTGTTCTGATGCACATGTGCATTTTTTTTATTTGTTTTGATTTTTATGTAAATAATTTTCTTTTATAATTTTCTTTCTTGATTTGATGCACATGTGCATAAGTAGTCGTATCTGGGGCCAGAACATAACTAAAAAAACACAGTTTACATATAGAATTGGTCAAGTTGTGAAGGTTGTTATATTATATATATATCTATATGTCCGAACGTCTCTGCTCAATTTTTGTTCTTAACAACCCAAATATTATTATTTTTTTTTTAATCCTATTAATTATAAACTGGTTGTATAAGATTATAGGTGAGTGATTTCTTTTTTACCCTGAACGAAGCTTGCCACCTCTACGTGGTGTTCAGGAGAAACAGTTGTTAGTTAATAACTGGCCAAGAGCAAGCAATATTTGCAATATTTCATTTTACATATTTTTGGAATTATTGCGCCATTTTGTATTGAATGTCACGTAAATATGTTTATTCATAATATTAGCATCATGTTACAAAAGTTAAGGTTTCTTGTTTACCATGTACATACTAAAAATTTTTATAAAAATGAGCGTTAATTTGAAATTTAATATAGAAATAGAAGATGATTGGTCGAATGTCTTATGATCACTGATCATTTGATCGACATCGATTTAAAAAAAAAAATTAAAAATTTACATTTCTATTGGTCAAAGTGACTAAAATTAGTTAAAAAAAAAATTTTTTTGTCAATTTCATATCAATACAATGTTAGTACAAGAGAATTTAAGTGTTTCCCAGCCGTTCTCCTTTTTTAGTAATAAAATGGGTCGTAAAATCTGTTTGCGTTATGAAAGCAGTATCAATAATGTTTGTTTTTTTATACTACTTTATTATAACATTGACTAAAATATTTTTAATATTTTGAAATTTGATAATTATATGATATCATTTCTCGGAACAAAAGTGTAATAAATACGATAACTGCAAGGAAATCTACAGTACATATTCATCAATATCGGACTTTAAACGTATGGTGATTTCAACTACATTTCATTCTATTGGTTCTTTTTTTAACGGAAAAATTTTATTTGATTTTATCAATATAAGTTAGCCATATATGGATGAATTAAATTCTTTGTGATACAATATTCTTTTGTACTTTACTGGGCGTTAAATATCTAAAAAAAAAAGTTTTATAATAAAATATCTCATACTCAATTGATATTTATTTTTTATGTCAGTGAAATGATTGTCAGTGAAATGATTGTCGGTAAAATAACCTTGTCGGTGAAACGTTTGTGATTGTCGGTGAAATGAACCAGACCTAACGTTAAAAGATTACCTTAATATAGTTTTATCATCATTATTATTCATTTATTTTATTTAGTATTTATCCAAAGTTTTTACTAATGCAATTAATATACAGTAAATATTGTTACCACCAGTTTCTGAAGTTTGATAGATAGTAACAGAAAAAATATAAGGATCGGTTAATAAATGACAGGGTAATATAATGATGTATGACAAGCGATAAGGTAAAAATGTATACGGATAAATGATAATAAACGATTGTGAACGATAATAAGTAACGTGATAGATTGAGGGTAGGTGGTGTGTGTATAACAATGATTGGTGATATTATGTATACGGATAATCAATGGTATATAACAAAAAACTAACAAATGATAATAAAAGACAATGTTAATAAACGATAATAAACAATAATAAACAGTGTGTGTTAAAAATGACAAAACATATATAAGTAATGTGGAACCAGATTGGCAGGTTTATTAACAATGGAACAAATACGATATTACTGCCTCTATCGGCACTCTGTAATATCTGTATATCTATCTGTTGAAAATAAGACCTATACAAAACTAACTCAAACTTAGGACTAACTGAACTACTCCAATCGCACTTCCAACAACGGCTTTTTTATATTGTTAAAAATTCTGGTGCAAATCTGTCTTTCAAACAGAATTGCCACCCGGCCAATTGTGGTGATCTGGGCATATTTTGTCTATATAGCCACCTGTATCACCTGTACTCAGTCACCTTCCCACAGCTAAGCTTCCGTTGTTATCTAATCACTAAATAACTGAAAATAACTGAAAATGACTCTATGTAACATAGCTAAAATAAATAGATAAAAATAAATAAAAAAATAAAAAATATAAGAAAAAAATATCCCATGACAATATTAAGTTTTAATAAAATAAAATTTCGAGATGTAGATAACCTGCACCAAATGTTGATATTCTTATATGAATAACAGGATAACAGATAATCAGATTATATGCCCAGTAATAGACGACGAAGAATAATGTTATTTTTCCTTATTTTCGTAAATTTTTATAATTTTTGTAATCTAACATTTATATAAGTGGAACGATAATGTAAGATAACCATATGAGCACGAAATATCTTTATATAAGGATGAAGGATCAATGCCAACTTCAATAATAACATTATAATATTCATCATCAATTGAAATTTCAAGTAAATTTTGGGATAAGTTACGTAAAAGTTTATTATCATTCATAATAAAAAACAATTCGTTTGAACTTTGAACGGTAAACCTTATATACAGTATAATGCTGCTGCAGCTTGTTGATCTGAACCTTCATCTTATTTTCACGGATAGTGACCTTAGCATCACACCGAAAAGCGATAGCCTTATTTTCCGGTTATACGTGATTTCTCTAATGACTAAAAATTTGATGTCGTTTTGGCTTATTACGTGACCCTTCATTTAAATATGAGTTTATAAAAAAGTTATGGTGAAGAGAAATATTTATCCGAAAAGATCAATACGTCAATAAATGATTATCGAAATCACGTGTAACCGGCATATGTAACCGAAAAATAAATCAGGCTACCACTTTTGAGTGGCGATGTTGGTGTAATGCGGGGGAAATTTTGTCGATCAATAATTAAATTTAAAAATTAGCCCACCTTCCCCTTGTGGTGCATTAGGTTGTGCACCGGTTGTACAGAATAATGATATAAAACTAATAAATTCTTAAACCGGATGCCTTTAGGCTTATTGTCTTTTTGTTAAATTTACAAAATATGAACTGTACATTGCCCATAGATTTTTCAAATTTACTTGAAAATCCTGACGATTATGATGTGAAAATTATAGTTGGTAAAGAAGAAAATATTAAGGAATTTAAAGCACATTCGTTAATTTTATCTTCTAGGTCAATCTATTTTAAAAATGGATTATCTGCACGATGGGCAAGAAAAGAAGATGGAATCATCATTTTTAATAAACCTAATATTTCACCTTTGGTGTTTGAGGTTATTATAAAGTAAATACATTTTTTTCCAATTTAATTATTATTTTTTTTAAAAAAAATAAAATCATTAATCATTTACAAAAATAATATCACGAATAGGTATATTTATACAGGATTACTTTATATTAAAGATAATAATGAAATTAATCTTATTGATGTTGCTATCGCAGCGGATGAGCTTCAATTAATTGAAGTATTTCAACAACTTGAGGAAACTTTAACTGGAAATAGGTCTGCCTGGCAACCAAAAGATATTGTCAAAGTTAGTCAACATAGTCATTTCATTAATTTATATAATTTTGTATTAGAATTAGTTTGTAGTAAACCTAAAATTATTTTTGAATCGGAGGAATACTTAAAAATTGAAGAATCTTTCTTTATACAACTTTTAAAATGTGATGATTTTGAATTAGAAGAGATTGAAATTTGGGAATATTTAATTAAATGGGGAATTGAAAATACCAATTCTATTTTAGATGGTGATATAACTAAATGGACACCAATAGATTTTATAAATCTAGAAAAAATAATTCATAATTGTATTCCTCACATTCGATTCTTTCAAATGTCATTCAATGATTATACAAAAGTTAGGACTCAATTTAAGGATATCTTACCGGATGGTCTTGATGGAGAAGTTCTTCAATATTTATCAAACTCTAATTTCAAAACTACATTCAATGTTTTACCCTCAAGATTTCTATTTGACTCGAAAATTATTAATTCTAAAGATGCAGCATTGATAGCAAGTTGGATTGATAAAAAACGTGGAGCATCTTACAATTTTAAAAATATACCTTTTAAACTTGAACTTATTTATCGTGCAAGTCAAGAAGACTTTAAAATCAAGAAATTTCATGAGAATTGTGATAATAAAGGACCAACAGTTGTTGTCATTAAAGTTCACGATTCAGGTGAAATAATTGGTGGATATAATCCATTGGAATGGCGTAGTTTTAAAATATTAGAAGATGAAAGGAGTCCCATATTATATCATAATTGTGATTTTTACAATAACCATCAACGTAAATCATCAAATAGTTTTATATTTTCATTAACCAACCGAACAGTACCTGTATTAAGTCGTGTCACATCTAAAAGAGAAGCAATCACTTGGTGCAAAAACAAAGGACCTTGTTTTGGATTACATGATTTGTTTGTTTATTCTTTAAATAATAATATTGCCGGAAAAAGCAAGCAGCATTCTTATGAAAAGAAAGTTATTAACAAAGAAGCTTTTGAAATAGAAGAATATGAAGTATTTCAAATTGTTGATGATAGATATAAATCCATCATTTTTCTATTTATTGATATAATTTTTCGATTTATCAATAGAATGTTTAAGAGAGTAATTCGATTTATTAAATGGATGCTTGGGAAATTTGTTATTCTTCTGCCAGTAATATTTTTTATGTTAGTATTGTCGTCTGTTATATCTTTTGTTTTTTATTTTGCATCAATAATTTACAACTTTTATCAACAAGGTAATATTTTTGGTGTTATTGGTGTTATTTTGGTATTGTTACTATTAAAATATTTTTTGAAACGTCGTCAAGTTTATATTGAATAAATAAACAAAAAATTATTAGAAGCTATTCATAATCTCTATCTATAAAAAAAAGCATTGTGCGACCGTGACGTTAAGACTACCCTGCATAAAAAGGTGGATTTAAATTGGATCGTCCATTATCATGTGTCTGCGCCCTGTGCTACAGATTTTTATATAGATTCGGAGTGGCGCATCATTTGACATTGATTAGCAGCTCTAATCCCAATACAATTTTGAATTAGGCTGCATAAATGATTGGCGTAAAAACAAATTATAGCAACTAATCCAATTAGTACTAATTGTAATATAAAATATAAAAAATTTATTGAGCAATCGTCATTGTTTTTTTTAAAAAAAAGTTTTTTGGATTTTCCCATACGACGCATTTTCTTTTTTTTTTTAAAAAAAAAAATATATTTTTCAGTTTCTGAATTTTCCCATATGACGAAAAAAAATCCCTTTCTTTTAAAAAAAAATACACCTTTTCTTTTACATTTAATTTTTAATTTCTAATGCCTGCACAGCTCTCAAAGTAGGATTTTACCAGGGGGATTGAACATTTCTAATAACAGCAATTACAGGTATTTAATAACTATGCAAAAAACCAAAAAAAACCCCAAAAAATAAAGCTTTCTTTTTTTAGGTATCAGTGGTTTTCTTGGTTTGTCTTCAGACGCGTGGAAATTTGGTAAGGAAGGATTTAATACATTTCTTTTAATCAAACATTTCTAACAGTTTGATTTTTCATTTTTTTAGATAACTGAATAAGGAATAATTTATACACGAACAGAATTGTGGTGAGTATTTTTTCTTTGAAAATTTTTTAACAAAACATTTACTAACATCATGTTTCTTCCTTTTTTATATGGTTTGTTCATGATTCTGGATGTGTGAAATTTTAGTAGGTTCTTTTAAAATGCTTCTTTTAACATAATGTTAGTTAACAAAATGTTTACTAATGTTTATTTTTGCATTCTGTAGGGTGGTTCTTTGGCTCTTTCCAGACATGGAATTTGTAAGTGTTTTTCATTAATTTTTTTTATTTCTTAATGAAATGAAACATTAAAACTAACATTTTGTGTTCTATATTTTGTAGTTTAGACAGTACTGCAACACCTTGGACATATGTAAATTTTGGTAAATAATATTTTCCTAACATTATTTCTTTAACGAAACATTATTGATGATTCATTCTTTTCTTTTTTTAGTAGATGATCAATTTTTGAGAACTTTGGGTAAGTTCTGAAAATGAATTTTAAACTTTAAAAAATGTCACTAATTTAACTTTTTTTTTGTAGGGAACACCCTTTTCTCTTTTTTAGGTTTTGGTGGTACCCTTCAGAGTGAAGGTTAGTTTGAATTATATTTTTAATTTTTTTTAAAAAATTCTTTTTCATAATTACTAATCATTTTTTCTTTTCTTTTTTTAAATTTTGGTACCTTTTTTTAGGTCTAATGATTCTTTGGATGTTTTTTAGGTTTGCCCGGCTTCCTAATGAACCACTATGACTATTATAATAACTATTATAATAAAAAATGTATTGCATATTATTTATACTGACACTCATTATCTGTTATACTTTGTAATGATTAATATTCCTATTAATATGTAATAATTTTTAAAATATTTCGCAAGGATTGTGAGTGCTGTAAAATCACTACGGCATATGAAGTTTATACCGTAATATATTAAATCGTCGTAATGCCGTAATTATTTAATGCTAAATATACAAAAATTACACAAAGAAAGTAAATATTTTTTTTTATTATGCCGAAGATAATTTGTAATCCGTAAATCTATAATGCTGATCTTGATGATTTGTTAGATATTTAAATGGTAAAATCCATATTTCGTAATGCCGTAAATTCAATTCGGCAATTCCGACGGCACCTATAAAAATCCCTTGCCATACACAGCCTATGATTCCCTATTTACCACAAAATTCTAAATTAATGCTAATAACCATTCTAGACTTTATATAACAGCTTAGCAGAAAGGTATCTGATTTTCATAATTTTAATTAGCCAGGCCCGCGTGAAACGCGGGCATCCAGCTAGTAACTGATAATATAAAATCCAGAAATTAATAAAGGATAAGCTGGTTTATTTAATTCTATTAATAGTCTATAAGAATCAATTTAAATGATGTACTTGAAAGTTGAAACAATAAGACAATGCTTCTTAATTTATATTTAATAGATTATTAACCTAGTATCTTATTAATTTTGATATTTTGATTACAAGCTATTGTAATAAAATTAAATGTGTTGAACATTACTAAGAGTCCATTCACATTTCAGGTTACCTCTAAAGACCAGACCATTTCCTAAAAAAATAAACAGAAATGTTAGTAATGTTTCACTATATAAAAAAGCTTAAAAGAATAGTAAGTGAAAGTATACCTTCGAAAACTGAGACATTAAAGAATTGGAATGGTAAACTTCTCAACATTACCATGAGCTCCAACATGTTTCTCTCAGTTCTATAGTCAAATATTGTTTTTTCAAATCCAATCTAACTAAAAAATAACAGTGTATTAGTAATATTTTTATAAACGAAAAAAAAAATACAAAAAAAATTATGAATTATATAAGGATCGATCAGCAATACGAACAAAATCTTCTACCTTCTCTCCCTTTAGTTCTGTTTGGGCTATAGTAGCTTGTTTACTGCGACCAATGAGTTTAATTCATTTAATTCTTTTATAGGTAATATCATAGAATTTAATAAATTGGAATACAATGTTGTAAAGTATCTTTCAAAATGTCGAAATCTTTTATGAACAATTTGTAGAATCAGAAGGAAGTCCCGGATTTGAGTAAGCCCCCATTTAAACACATGTTCCTATATTTTAATTTCGACCATTACTTTGAATAATAGAGTTTTCTTCGATTGAAAAGAAATTTGATAATTTAATTAATTTATCTGGCTTTTTGAATGACATATTAATACAGAATATTGAAGTTCAAAAAAGAATGATTCCCAAAGCTTGTTTGATATATTAAATTAAAACTTCGTTCCATCCCATTTGACTTAGCTTTAATCAAAAAAGATTGTAGTAAGTAAGAGATCAGTTCTTAGAGGCCAAGTTTACTTCTAGCGACCAAGATTTTAATTATATTCGAATTATCATATTCTCTAAAAAAATTCTTCCATCATAAATGTATCTAAAATATAAGGTGTAAATTTAAAACAAGAATGGAAAAAGGTTAATACAGCAGCAGATCACAGAAAATATCATCCGAGCATTAAATCTTATTTTTTAATGTAAGGAAGTGTGAGGAAGAATTTCATTTTGAAATATAATAATAACTTAAACTTTGTTTGCGTTTTTTTGTTAAAAGAAATTTATGAAAATTGAGTCACGTGAGAGTTTTACCCAATCGTAACATTATAACCACGTGTATTTTTCTTTCATCCATAACCAAAGCACAACTTCGCAACCAAACAATATATCCAATTTTTTTTTTTATTATCAGAATTTTAATTTAGTTCTTTATCTTTCCTTTTTACTCCGGACTACTTATTACTACGTAGAATGCATTCACAAATACGCCTCAGATTCATAAATTAAATATCCGGTTTGGATTAAATGGATTAAATTGAGTTGATCCAATGGATTCAATTAGATTATATTTTAATAAAATCGGAAATATTCGGTATCGCTCAATTTTATAAAAGAGAGAGGGTGTTTTAAACATGTATAAACATATGTGTTTAAATTACCTTTGAAATTTTAATAATAAAGGGGCCAGGGGGGAGGGAGAACGTCAAACTAAAATTAATTTGGAGCAGCCTTACTGGGCTGATCTACAAAATGCCAGTTTCCCACTGAAATATACCATTTCATGATATCCAATTTTCCGAATTTCACCTTTTTTTTATAATAAATAATAACAGGGATTAAGGAATTATTGCTTTATTAAAAATCATGGGAAAATATTTAAGGAATTAATTCCTTTTTTTGTCATTATGATTTATTAGATATAAATACAATCGATTCTAAAAAAAGAAATTTTTATATAAATCCAATAAAATATCTATTCGGAATATTAATATTATGGAAATTAAAGTTTCAGGAAAATGATCCGGTTCGGAAAATGGACTTTTGGGAAACGATTTTTCAGGAAAATGACATTCGGGGAAATCATTTATTCTGGAAAATAATTTTATATTAAAATAAATATTCTTAATTAATTTTTTGACTAATTAAAATTCGTTGCCAATTTCTTTTTAAAATTAAAAAATTTGTACACAAATTAATTAACAAAAATTTAATGTAGCGCGTTAATAAATTTTATTAATTATTATAATAATTATTATAATTTTATACAGTTTGACGAAAGTGGAATTGATTTTCCATATTTAGTTAAAATAGTTAAATTCAAATGGTGTAAATTTAAGTAATTCTATAAAAGAAATTCCAAAGTCCCAATAGGATGATAAACACTTTGCATCTAATGCAATTAATACAAAATGATTTGTACTTCAAGCTAAACAATATGGTGTTTTATAATGTCAAACAATATGTACTTCACCATATAAAGCTGAGTAGCTGACCCACATACACCACACAATGAAAATGTCAAATGTCAATTAAATTAATTAAGGACGCCGCCTCAGGCGCCTCATTGGCGCCTCAATGTAATTGGATGATATCAAGAGAGTTGATTTTAAAGGATAGTCAAAAATCATGGTCAATCAATCAGTATATATTTAGGTTCATTTATAAAATAAGAATATATTTCTCAATTTGGTTTGTTTATCGTTTCTCAAATTTATAATCATAAGACTAACGTGAAAGCAATAATTATGATGTAATTGTAACTTTTACTAGTTAACAAGAAATTTAAATAAATATATCAACTGCAACTTTTCTTGAGAAACTTCGCAGATTCACCCGCAGTATGCATGTTTATTAGAACATATGATGAGCCAAAACCAAGACTGATCATGTTATACCTGCTTTTTTTTTATTAGGCATGGTGTGGGATTATTACGTAAAGAAAAGTGATGTGATCAGCGAATTCCAAAAATATTATCAAAATTTTTTAAGCCACCGTTCGACCGTTCGTTCCTTACAAATTTTTATTTTTAATAATTTTTTTTTCTAACATTTAGGTTAATATACACTTTATAGAGTGTAATAAAAACCAGCAGTATTATACCATTATACCCTTCAACTGTTGAATCACATAAAATCACACGGAAGCTACTATAAGGAAAGTTGTTCTTTAACTTATTCTAATAATAAAATGGGTATTTTAAGATATTATTGTGTACTTGTTCAAAAAAATTATATTTCAAAAGAAAAATGACTTTTATTAAAATTATTGTTACAATTGATAATATAATTTATTTATTTTTTAACGAAAAGTAATTTATATGAGATCAAGTAGAAGTGGGGATTTTTGATGTATAATTATGAATTTTATTTCTTTTGTTGTTCTTTTTTTTTTAGTGAAAAATTTTCTAACTTGACTTTATACATTTTTTATCAGTTATATGTGATGTATATAATATTAATGAACTACTATGGAGAAACTATGATTAAATAAAATAAGTTGCAAAGAATTTTTATTTATTTATTTTTATGACTCAATATAATATTTTTGCATTATATTTTAATTTTTACATTTAAATCATATAACCATATTATTAATAATTATATTAAAGTTAGAGAATAATAAATCCCTATTCTTTATTGTATTTAAATGGACGTGTTTAATTTTTTTTAAAGTTTAAAAAAGATTTTTTTCGTTTCGATATATTACTGTACGTCATGTGTTATCACAGGTAAATTTCTTCCTTGGATAATATTTAACAGAATTTATATAGTGGAACCAGGATGAATATCTCGCAAGGATGCAGTATATTGAAACAGAACATATTATGCTTGTTAGGAATTTACAAAGTAATACTTATACATTTATCTTTTACTTCGTGATTCCACTAGATATCACAATTTTTATATTAGTTCATGGAAGGAAATTTTGAATTCGTGATTAAAAAAATTGGAAAGTAAATTCGCCTCAACATACTTATTACTTACCACAAGCAACATATTAATTTCCTATTTAAACGTTACTTATGTAATACAAGATATGAGTAATTTTTTTTTACGAAAGGTTTATTTTATTGTGCGATTTTCCCCATAATTCAAGTAATGTTATTATTAGACTCTACCATCATTTTGACTGTGGTTTGCTGAAGTGGTAAAAACAATCGGAAAATACGGAAAAAAGGAATTGATATATACTGTACTTATTACAATCATTAACCATTCTATTATGACTATTTTCAATATTTTGTCTAATTGCGAAATTTTAAATGATTTTTCTGTTTGTGTAACAAGATTTGGATGATATTGAGCGAGTTTATTTTATATTGATGATGAAAGTGATGAAAGACAAAACAAGTTTTATTAAATATCATTTCTTTTCTTTCTATTTGTTTATTACTCTTTGAAATTAATTTAATACATTGACATCAAAGATGATCTTTTTTTCGGGATTATAATCTCAACATATTTTAAAGGTTTACAACCTGTTGCGGGTTGTGATAATCTTAGAAGAATATTATTATATAATCTTACAAACATACGTTATCGTTTGTAACAAAATATTCCTTTTAAGTCTTCAATATTTCAAATATTTCATATAGCAGCTTTATCTCAGCACAAAAACGTGGTTCAAATAATTAGCGATGTAATTATGTCTCATAAATTTATAAAATTTTTAAATAATCGTCCATGAAATTAATACAATTGTTTACTCTTTTAAAAAAGAAAAAAATGTTTAAGGATAAACACTACAATTTTATAACCTGCTAATGTTCGAAACATAAATACATATCACCGCGCCATTATTAAATTCATATATTGGATGTAAATTTAGCATGTGGTTTGACACATGACAAGATTGGTCCGTCTCAAAATCCAGAAAAACTGCATAATCCTGAATTACAAAATCCTGTGAAAATTCTGTTTGGACAAACATTAAAAATATTATTTTTTTTTTACCATTTTTCATAATATATTATAATTTTAATTACTTTTAATCAAAGATACATTATTTAATTAAAAAAAAAATTATATATTTATTGATTAAAGAAAATGTTTAAAATTAATAATAATTATTAGTAATGGACAATATTAAAATAAGTATTAATTATACGGTATCCAGAATTTTCGTCGAAGCCATTTCGCCAAAGAGATATTTCACTGAAGGGATATTTCGCCGAAAGGACGTTTCGCCGCCGAAATACCATTTCACCGAAACCCCATTTCACTGAATTCCATTTCGCTGAAGCCATTTTACTGAATGGACAATTCGCTAAAAAATTATTTATTCCATTTGGTTATTTTATAGTTTTTATACTAAATACATAAAAAAGTCTTTTCTAGAAAAATTTTTGAATTAGCTGATTTTTATAATACATTGATTTTTTTTACTTACTTTTTTGTGAATAAATATTAACAATTAATATCAGTTACTTGAATATTAAAGTAATAATATCCTGAAAAAAATAAATCTCTAAAAATAATTTAATTTTTATTTTCATTGCGCGATGAATACTTTTTAGAAAATATTATGTAATCGTTACTATTTTCGGCGAAATATCCATTTGGCGAAATGGGATTCGGTGAAATTGGAATTCGGCAAAATGGATGATTCGGTAAAATGGATTCGATAAAATGTATTTTCGGCGAAACATCCTTTCAGAGAAACGTTACACATCTCTTCGAAGAAATGACTTCAGCAAAATGGGTTTCTGTGAAATTGATTTCGTCAAAATGTGTCGTAACCTTAATTATATTAATTGTTAAAAAAAAAAAATTATCTCTACAATTAAATAAATTATCAGTTTTATTTATTTTTTTTTTTTTGGCTGGATATGTTTTTTTTATTTTTACTAAGCAAAAAAAATATATTTATTCTAATTAAAAAAAACATACAAAACATATTTATTCATAAAAAAAAAATATTAACTTCGATTAAACTAAAAGGTAAAGAACGAGGAAGAAAAAAAATTAGTTAAAAAATAATTGGTATTATTAAAAATAAAAATCGGAAAAAAGGTGCTTGTCGTAGCACCGCTCCGATCACTGATCCCAAATTTAAAAGGGTGAAAGGATTAGCAAAAAAAAATAATTAGGAAGGAGGTACTATAACACCGCAGCGACGCAGCGTCAATCTAATAATGTACTTAAGTAGCAGTAATAAAAAAATATTAAATAAAAAAAAAAATTATATTAAAAAAATACAGTATAGATTAAAAAAAATTTAAAAAAATTTAGTTAAAAAAAAAACCAAATCTAAAAAGAAGTATTAAAATATTAGAAAAGAGGAAAAATTTTTTTAAAAAAATCAGAATAAAAGATAAAAACAAACCGAAAAAAGATAGTTAAAAAATTTCGGTTTTAGGAATAAGACCAAACCGAAAAAAAAATGTTTGAAAGGTTTGAAAAAAGGAAAAAAAAAATTCGGTTTCATCTCACAGAGGACCGGTGACCAATCAGTGAATTCAAATTTTACACGTTGTTTACATGTACTTATAATTTCATTGTAACAATAAAAAAATTATTTTTGTATTTTACGAGCCGGAAATAAATTTATGTAACAATAAAAAACTATTTTTGCATTTTATGGGTGATTTACCATCTCGAATGAGCCGGAAATAAATTCATGTAACTATTTTTGTATTTATCTACATCGGCTAAATTTATGCCGATAAACCACTATATTTATAACATATATTAATAATATCATTGGAACAATCGGAACAACCATTCCGAAAATGGGGTCATTTCTACAATAAATTTATTTATATTCAAATGATATGTGATTACACAAATACGCCTAGTATAAATAAACCACTTTCGGCGTAATTTTTAAAAAAAAAATTAAATTCCCCTTTTCTTTTTTTTCTTTAGTTTACACTACGGCGTAATTTTTTTTAAAAAATTTAAAATTTCCCTTTTCGCCTAAATTATTCGCTATGGAATGTACAAAAGCTATGGAATGCACGGAAGTAGCATGGGAAATCATAAAACATTTTCAGGATGACTTTTCAACTTTATATTCATGTTTTCAAGTTAACAAGTTATGGTCTCGTTTAACAATCCCATTTATATGGGAAGATCCATTTTCATTTAAACAACCGAAAAACTATAATTACATTGAGGCTTACTTATGTAATTTAAATGATGATGATAAAAAAAAATTAAATAAATATGAAATTAATACTAATTTATTTTCATATGCATTATTCAATTATTCCAGTTTTATTAGACATTTAGATACAAATAAATTAATCAATTCTATAAAAAAGTGGGATGCAATAGTTAATCCGATACGACAAAAAGGTCTCGTAAAATTTATCTATAAGTCATTAATTAAATTATTTGTTGAAAGTGATGCAAATTTACTTACTCTTGATTTTACATATAACCGTAATTATTATAATATTACTATTTCTCAAATTATTTTAAATCCAAATTTTATTTGTAATATCAGGAAACTTTATCTTAAGTTTGACACTTATGATACATTTAATATAGATTCATTTTTAAAATTTTTAAGCTTAAATTCCAAATCAATTTCTTCAATTAATTTTCAATTCATAGATCCTTATCAAAATGTTGAAGAAAATCTAATTAATATAATTAATTCACAAAAAAATCTCGAAAATATTTCTTTTAATTTTGATAGTCTTCCCTTATATAATTCACTCAAAAACCCTGATTTTATCAATACTTTAAGAACAATTATATTTTATTTTATTGACTTTAAAAATATAGTTGCTTTAAATGAAGTATTTGAACAATTAAATGTCTTAGAATCCATTCATATACTTTGTTGTTCTTTTTTAGATTCAATATTTGTAACTTACCCCTTTAAATTAAGATCGTTATTTGTATCTGAAATAATAATCGAACCAATAAGATTATTATTACAAAACTCCGGTAATTATTTAGAAAATTTTGGACTCGAACTTTATTGTTTACCAAGAGGAGAAGTCGAGTTATTAGACTTAATTATTAATCATTATAGTACAAACATCAAATTCTTAACATTTTGCGAATTTAATCATGATAGTATTTATAAAATACTCAAATTAATCGAAAAAGTTAAATTAAGTCTTAATTATCTCACTATTGAAATTAGCCCTATAGCTAATTCTGGTTCAATCATATTACAAAATTTATGGAAAATCCTTCCTTCCAGATTAGAATATTTAAATTTAATCATTCCAATTAGTAATATAAGTGATTTTGAATTTTTTTTGAAAAATTTACAAACCATTTTTATTAAAAAATTATTAATTAAATGTGTATGTACTGTAACAAGAATACCAGTATTCCAAAGAAATTCTATTTTACATTATATAAAAGAATATATAATGAAAAATAAAAGAGTTGAATATTTGGCTTTTCTAGAATATTTTTCCGATAAAGAAGAATATGATGACTTGATTTCAATGGAAAATGAAGAATTTGGATCATATAATATTGTAATTCAAAAGTATCACGAATTAAAGATATATAATCACGAGTTTGTAAGTGAAATGTATTGCTAGTTCATTTACTGTATATATAGATTTTTTTAAAATGTATTAAATTATTGTTATTTATAATAAATAAAAGTTTCTTTTTGTAAAATATGGCTTAAATATGATGTTTATTCAAATATACAGTAAAATGAATAGTTAATTAATATATATATATATATATAACCAAATTATTTTACAACTCTATAAAAATTTTATCTGTTATTTCTGTAAAACTCCGTAAGAACGGATCCATTCACAGAAAATGTAAATAAATCAATAAATTCCATGATACATTGATACAAGGTTATTAATTCTGGAAATATGAGCCTTATGGAAAAAACATGGAATATAAAAAACGGATCAACTTTTTTTACAGGGTTATAAATATTACTTCTTTTCCGCCCAACTTTTATAATCTGATCAATTTCCAAGACGTTTACCTTTTCTTTAAAAAAGTTTAAAAGCTAAGAGAATTAATAAAACCTTAGAGTTGGTCATTGACTTAGGTAAGGATGAAAATTGATTTAGGATTAATTCTTAATTTTTTGATTTTAGTCATACATGTAAATAGACATTTTTAAATGTTAACAATCCGTTTTGATAACATTGCACAATGCAAACCTGTGAATTTATCCCTTTCGTATGATGCTCTATTCGGCTTTTTTCATGACACATACTTTAATTATTGCTAAATCCTTTAATATACAAATCATAATAATTTCTCTGCGATATAGTAAATAGTTACAGAATATGCGAAATATAGAACATGCATAATTAAGTTTTATGATAACTATGTCATATTGATGAATAAATGATACTCAAGAAAAGTTTTTTCTTAGAATTTTCAAAGATTATTTCTTCATCAATGAAGTTAAACCTCAGAGCATCCGTTAATGGTAATATCAACATTTTAAATATCTTAACCAATAAATTTAACCAATATAAAGAAAACTCGGTCAAATCCCATGTTTATTCTATCATATGAGAAAAAAAAGTTCAGTTTCACTAGTTAATTTTCAAAAAATGATGATTCATTGATTTATAATCAATTGTTAATTGATCTTTGGTTAATATCAATCAATAATTTTTTTATATAGCTGAGATTAATTTATTTAGTACAAAGAGTACTACAAAATTTAAAATAAATTCTTCCTTTTAAATTAGAATATCTCTTGTAATTATTACAAGTGATTTTGACGTGAAAATTTCACAACCCACTTTTCCCATTTTCTTATTACTGTACTTACCAGTTACCATATTTGATAAAAGAACATTTTACTTTTTATAAAGGAATATATTATGAAAAGTCAAAGAACTAAATATTTGGCTTTTTTAAAATATTTTTTTTGTCATTCAAGTTTCTACTGATGATAATGATTTACATTCTTTGAAAAATAAAGTAATGGAAATTAGATTATATAAATAATATCATTATAATTCAATATTACAATCAATTACAGTTATTTCCAATTGATACGATCTTATACTAACAAGAAAATCATCTAAAACATTATTCCCACTATTAATAATATCAGCATTTTTAATTTTAAATTTAATATAAAAAAAATTTACCATTCATCATAATTGACTATTCTTCCTTTTACTTCATATTCTTCTAACAAATATTCCATTTCTATAGTAATCTCACCTTGTAATTTTAAAAATATAGGATTTCTTCCTTTCCAGTTATCTATAAAAATTTTAGGGGCGCAATTTCTATTGGAAAATTATTATCAAAGCAAAAATTATACAAATTAATTGGTGATATTTTAGCTAATACATTAAAAAATTTATTCCAATTAAAATCATTTTTGGATATAATATGTAATCCATTTAAATATTGACAAGTAGTTAATAATTTTTCTATTTCTAAAATATTGTCATCTTGAGGTGTAAATGTTAGATATATAAGTTTCGGACAATTTTGATAAATAGTATGAATAATTCTTTCATTCTCATTCTTTAAATAGATGATGTTATAAAGTTCTATTATAATAAGTGATCTTTTTGTACTTTCAACTAAACTTATTAAATACTTGACAGGAAATTCTTGAAGTTTTAAAAATTGTAAAGAAGGTAAAGATAAATTTTCTAAACACTTCCATTTGCTTTCTTCAAATAAATAATCACCATGCAATTCTAAACTTTTTAAATTTGCCCAAAATGAGAGAATTCTGTGGTAAATGGTTTAAATCCTGTAAAATATTGAATAGTATTTGAATGTTTAATCAAAGAATTTTCAAGAATCTCACAGAACGGTGGTTCATCTTGTGGTTCCCAGTAAGTATACCTTCTAAAATAAACATTAACTAATTTTTTTTGAGCCTTAATTAATTTAATAATCTCATAATTGTTCTTAGAACTTACAATAAAAAGTTCCAACTCTCTAATTGATTTTACATTCTGATAATCCAGTTAAAATATTATTATTAATGCTAGCACAACAACTTAAAAATTTGATTTTTGAAATTGATAATTAAATTTTCTTGGTATGTAAAGGTGTGTAATGTTTACATTTTTGTTAATAAAAAGTTTGAATATTTCATCTTTAACAATTAATCTTTCACAATATTTTTGGTTATATTCATAATAGAACCTAAATTTAAATGTTTACAAAAACTAATATAATTTAATAAAGGTCTTTGATAATTTAATAAAGGTAAGGCCATATAGATTTTACTATTTTCTAAATAATTATAAATCTCTTTAATTTTTGCTTCATCTTGTATGTGTAATATAATTACATTCAATAATATCATTTCTGAACGAACATAAACTAATCCATTCCAAGGATCTTTCCATAAAAATAGAACAATTATTTCACACCAAGTTTTATTAACTAAAAGACATGAATATAAATTATCTTCTAAATATTCAAATAGAGAATAGAGAATATCTTTATTTAATCTGACCATTTTCTGTCTCTTATACACATCTAGATGTGTATAAGAGACAGATGTGAATGTGTAATAAGTATACTGCGTATACTACGTATTCATGACATATTACTAATAATTTAAGTAAGTAGGATTTTGATGATTTGAATATTACTTAGGACATATTAATTTAAATGTAATAATATAAACAAAACCGATTGTTTGTGTCAAACCTGTCAAACCATAATACTTTTTCAATAATATGACATTCTCTTTCATTCAACTGTTGAAATCAATTTTTTTTTTTTTTTTGAATCACAGAATCAAAAAACTCATAGTGAAGCTACACATAAGGAATTTTTAACTTATTCTAAGACGTGTGTCGTGAATTTGTTTGAAAAAATTAATTTTCGGAAGAAAAAATGATTTTTTATTAAAATTTATTATAACAATTAATAATATAATCAAATTTACTTATTTTTAATAATAGAGACGAAAATTAATTTATAGGAAAACAAGTAAAAGTGGTAGAGATTTTTTTGTGTGTAATTATGAGTTTATTTCTACATTTTTCATTACCGTTAGATATTATGTATATAATATTATTATTTAAATAAAATAAGTTGCAAAAAATTTATAATTTATTTTATGTTTTAAATACGACTCAATATAATATTTTTTGATTTATATTTAATATTATGTTTTAATTTTTATATTTAAATCATATTTTTTTTAAATATATATTATTAATTATTATAATAAAGTTAAAGAATAATAAATCCCTATTCTTTATTTATTGTATTTAATTTGGTACATTCGATTTTTTAAAGTTAATAAATTTTGATAAATTTTAGGAAAAAAAAAGAATTTTTTTTCGTTTCGACGATTGCAAATCAGTTACTGTATTATGTTATTATAGTTAAGTTCTTCCTTGAATAATATTTAACAGAATTAATATAGTGGAGTCAGGATAAATAGATATCTCGAGCAATAATGCAGTATATCGAAACAGATCATTAGGAAGTTACAATGTAATATCCTACATTAATATACTTAGTAGTTATTTCATAGATACCATCGATACAACTATTGCTTTTAACTGTTTCAACAACAAGAGCTTGGAGAATACATTAAGTCAACAGAGAGGAAATATGGGAAATAGGAAATATGTCTGCTCATTCTGCAATAAAAATTTAGGTCAAGACAAAACATCGTCTAGACATATCACCGAACAACATACAAACATACGTTATCGTTGAAACCAAACAATAGTAAAGAAAACATTCCTTCTCTGTCTCCAATATTTCAAATATTTCATATAGCAGCTTTATCTAAGTACAGAACGTAGTAAAAATAATTAGCAATGTTTTTATATAAAACAGTCTCATAAATATATAAAATTTTTAAATAAAACTCTCATAAATATATATAATTTTAAATAAAAACTCTCAAAATCTAAACGTCCATGAAATCAGGACCAATTCTTTACAATTATTTACGCATTTGAAAAATAAAAACAATTTTATAACTTCGTACTGAATTAACTGAGCTTGGTTTTTATCCATTATCATTAGTTTATTAGTTGAAATTACCTGTTATTACACCACTTATTAATCATAACGTCATTATTACAAATACTAAGTTTTAGGTCCGTCACAGTTCAATTAATACTTGCTTAAATACATTTTTAAACATCAGATCCCTTTAAGCTAATTATCTTTTTGATAAAATTTATAAAATATGAATCGTACATTACCTATAGATTTTTCAAATTTACTTGAAAATCCTGACGATTATGATGTAAAAATTATAGTTGGTAAAGAAGAAAATACTAAGGAATTTAGAGCACATTCGTTAATTTTATCTTCTAGGTCAATCTATTTTAAAAATGGATTATCTACACGATGGACAAGTAAAGAAGATGATGGAATCGTTGTTTTTAGCAAACCTAACATTTCACCGTTGGTGTTTGAGGTTATTATAAAGTAGGTACTAAATTCAACTTTAATCATTTTTTTAAATAAAAATTATTAATCATTTACAAAAATAATATCATGGATAGGTATATTTATACAGGATTACTTTATATTAAAGATAATAATGAAGTTAGCCTTGTTGATATTGTTATTGCAGCAGATGAGCTTCAATTAATTAAACTATTTCAACAACTTGAAGAAATTTTGACTGAAAATAAATCGGCTTGGCAACCAAAAGATATTATCAAAGTTTATCAACATGATCATTTCATTAATTTATATAATTTTGCATTAGAATTAGTTTGTAGTAATCCTAAAATTATTTTTGAATCGGAGGAATACTTAAAAATAGAAAAAACTTTCCTTATACAACTTTTAAAATGTGATAATCTTGAATTAGAAGAGATTGAAATTTGGGAATATTTAATTAAATGGGGAATTAAAAATACTAATTCTATTTTAGATGGTGATATAACTAAATGGAAGTCAACGGATTTCATAAATCTAGAAAAAACGATTCATGATTGTATTCCTCACATTCGATTCTTTCAAATGTCATTCAATGATTATATGAAAATTAGGACTCAATTTAAGGATATCTTACCAGATGGTCTTGATGGAGAAGTTCTTCAATGTTTATCAAATCCTAATTTCAAAACTACATTCAATGTTTTACCCTCGAGATTTATTTTTGACTCGAAAATTATTAATTCTAAAGATGCAGCATTGATAGCAAGTTGGATTGATAAAAAACGTGGAGCACCTTATATTTTCAAAAATATACCTTTTAAATTTAAACTTATTTATCGTGCAAGTCAAGAAGATTTTGAAATCAAGAAATTTCATGATAATTGTGATAACAAGGGACCAACAGTTGTTGTCATTAAAGTTTATGATTCAGGTGAAATAATTGGTGGATATAATCCATTAGAATGGCGTAGTTATAAAATATTGGAAAATGAAAGAAGTTCTTTATTATATTATCATGATGATGTTTACAATAATCATCAACATGAATCATCAGATAGTTTTATATTTTCATTAACAAATCGAACAATTCCTGCTGTATTAAGTCGTGTCATATCCAAAAGAGAAGCAATCACTTGGTGCAAAAACAAAGGACCTTGTTTTGGATTACATGATTTGTTTATTTATTCTTTAAATGATAATATTGTTGGTAAAAGTAAACAACACTCTTATGAAAAGAAAGTTATTAACAAAGAAAATTTTGAAATAGAAGAATATGAAGTATTTCAAATTATAGATGATAGACTTAGTAATAGAATTTTTCGAAGTATTAATAGGGTTTTTCGATTCATCAAGAGAATGTTTAAAAGAGTAATTCCATTTATTGAATGGATACTATTTGATAAGTTTCTTTTGCCAACAATTATAATATCAGCGTTATTTTTATTTATAATTATGTTTCTTTTTACTATAGTACTTTTAGCAGCACTTATGCAAGTTGCTCGTTTTATATTGGAATTGTTATATAAACCTTGAATACATAAATACTAAATAGGCAATATTAAATTTATTCATCATAACAGATGAGAGAATCAAATGACCCTAAATATAGTTTGTAGAAAGACATATTCAAAACAATAAAATGAACGTTTCTTGATAATCTTTAATATACTATATTTAATACATCATCAATGTAGTATTTTTTAATAATTTTGATTACAAACTATTGTAATTAAATTAATTGTTTATTAGCAAAAAAAAAATGCATTTCATTATTATGCAACTAGAAGGACGCGAACAAAATCCATGAATAACTGAACCTTGATCTGATTCAATAATTCTTTCGTCTGGTTGATTAGTTAAACCCCACTTAACCCGTATACATATACCATATGCACGAAATTCTTTTAACTTTTAACTTTTGATTTTCTAACTTGAATAATTTACATTGTGATCATTTAAATTATTTAACATTAATGAAAAGGTTGTTGAAAGGCTTTAATAGAATTTTGAAACCTTTTTTTTTTTTAAAAAAAAAAAGGTCTGTTAAATTTATATAAATCAACTCAATATAATATAGTAGTAATTTTGTTCTAAAAGATCAAAACTTTAATCTGTGATAAATCCTATTTAGTAATTTTGGAAAGTGTAACGTGAACATTTGAAAATGTCACGTACAATGTGTTAAACGTTAGAACTATTGTGGCCTTTAATTTCACTTTAAATATCACTATTATTCGCGAATATATTAATGTTAAAATTAATAGCTAAATGTTTATGATATTGATTATCAATATATAAAATAAGTATGAAATATATGAATACAATATTCAAGAACGCCAAAATATTATTCGTAATCGATTTCCAAATCCATATTTCTTTATTATCACTTAATTATATTGTGCTTTCCTACTTTAAAATTCATGAGAATTTATATTTAATTCTTCAATATTTCGCTTACTAGTTCCAAGTACATTTGATCTATTGATATAAATTATATTTAATTAAAGATTTGAATTGTTAAATTTCAATTTTAATTAACTTTCAATATCAATGTCAGGCTCAAGTTCTATTGAAGTATAACCTATAAAATGAAATTATATATTCATCCAAATATCTATTCATTAACGATTAACATTTTACATTTACAATATTTATATGCTTTCACAATACATACTTTAGAAGAATTGATACATGAACATTTAAAAGAATATAAAAGTATAGAATATTTTTTTAGAAATAAACAAGTATGATTAATTACAATTTTTTCAGGATGCGATATATTTAATATGGCAGGAATATTAGGTGTACGATTATGTATAAATTAGAAAAAGGTGTTGATTTTAGAGCAACTTTAAAGGTATTAGAACTAATTTGGGTTTCTGTTGGTACTTGGTATAGGAATTAATTTGTATATAGAAAAGAATAAACAAACATTAGATGATATTTTAAAAAAAATAAAATTATGAAAGTTTGGTACCTGTATTTTCAGTGGGCTAGTTATTGACGAGCACATTGGTTTGGAATCTGATGGGGTATATTTAATCTTCAACATGAAAGCCTAAAAGCCTTTTCCCCTTTGTTTCCCATTGCTGGAAAGTCAAATCACGCAAAATCAGTATCACATCACTTTTAAATGACCCACAGCTTCGTGCAATACTTTATATGGTACTAGGGATGGCAACAGTCACGGTCATTAACCGGTTATGACCGGTCATGACCGTGACTGATATCGGTCAGTCAAAGACCTCTAACCAACCATTTGACCGACCGTTTGACCGACCGTTTAACCGATCCTGAAAACGTTTGCAAAACGTAATTTAATAAATAAAAATGTTTTGCAAACGTTTTTTTAATTATTTTAATAGAAAATGTTGCGAAAACATTTTTTATTAAGTATTTCAATTAAATTACGTTTCGCAAACATTTTCAGGATCAGTTAACCAGTCGGTCAAACGGTTGGTTAACCCGGTCGGTCGGTCGGTCAAAGGTTCTTGACCGGTTATGACCGACCGATGACTGACCATGACCGACCGTTGCCATCCCTATATGATACCATCTGTTAAGTTGGCAAGTCACGGATACTTTCTTGCGTATGATGAAGCGTTAGAGTTGTTTGGTGTCGAGTTTGTAAAGCAAAATGTGACAAGAATTCCTACAGATAAAGAAAATTAAAATTAAAACACAATTAGAAAAAGAACGAACAGATGTGTTAATTTGCAATTATATTAATGATTCTGTACAAACCTCCCAACCACATCATATTTAATCTCGAAAAGAAAAAATTTGGGAACTTGCACATTTATTAGTTAACGCTTTCGAATCTGCAAATCCTCCTTCTAAGCATCCAATATTTGAATTCTGTAGTAATTTAAATAGTCAAGGAATTGATAAATTGTTTCAATTCCAATATCACATGCTGTAAAGGTTGCAAACAATAATTAACCAAGAAATTCTTTTAACTGAAAGCTATACGTTACAGTTGCTGACATTAATAAAATGAGAAAGGTGAAAGAAAGTGAAAGAAGAGAAGATAGAGAAATAGTAGGCCAAGGGGTAGACCAAGGGGTAAGGGAAGACAAAGGGATATTAATAAAGGGGATAAGGAAAATGTATAATCACAATAATTACTGTTTTTTTAAAAGAAATAAAATAATTAATAAAAATTAAAAAAATTAAAAATAAAGATAAGAGTAGCAACACATTTTTTGATGTTAATTTCCAATTTTATTAATTGAATTACATTTTCGTAAAAGCCTCAAAAAAAAAAAAAAAAATAACCACTAACAAATAATAAATGAAAAAAAATAAATAAAAAAAAGAAAAACCTAAAATTGAACTTGATGGATTTCCTTCATTATTATTGTTGTCTGGGCCTTTACCATCTGCCAATATGCTGTTCCTGATGCTTCATTTGCCAGCACTTCTTTTGGATCTTTCCCATTTGTTGGTGGCGCTGCTCCTCCATCTGCTGGTGGAACAAAAATAAAAAAAAAAGAATTGGTTAAAATAAATAAATGAATGAATGAATTCATAATGAAAGATACGTAACATCTAAACTTAAGGTGCTCTGAAGAATTTAAAAAAATGAAAACTTGCATTAGACAATGCATCCTTATCTAAAGAAATTTGTTTTACTATGTAAATAAAAGTAAATAGTTAATAAAATTAACGAAAGAAATAAATAAAGCGAAAAAAATTTACCATTAAAGAATAAATACGTATAAATTTTTTAACGTTAATATTTAAATTTGCTTATAAGTTGTCGCCAACTATATTTTCTCCTTGATAGTTTTAATGGAGTTTTTCTTTTCAGTTACTTCATTATAAAATTAATATTTTTTCTTCAAAGATCTCTTAAGAAAAACCAAATATAAATTACTATTCAAAAAAAAGATTCCCTAAAATAAAAAAAAATTTTTTTTAGATATCATAAATCAAATATAAACAAACAAACAAACAAACAAACAAATATAAAAATTAGAAATTTAAACCATCGCATGTAACTAACCTTTAGCCAAAAAATTAACCAAATTGCCGAAGAAATCAACTTTAACAACAAGAATATAGTGAAAACTAATAAAAAATAATAAAATAAACTAAATTTTATTCATTTCTCTTATAGTAATTAATTTTTTTTAAAAAAAGAAAAGGCCACTTACAATAGTAAAATTCAGTTTTTTGCATTAATAACCGTTATTATAAGCTTAGAAAAACCTTTTCCTTTCGTAAATTTACATATATACTACTGTTAAAACTATACATTTCTTCCTATCCCAACTTAGATCTTGAGAAAAGCTAGTTTTAAAGCGGGTTTTCAACATGTATGAAAAAAAAAATTTTTTATTAAAAAATGGGAAGGTAAGGATAAAAGTTGGTGGAACACAAGATAATCTATCGATTTTATAATTTACATGCAAAATGAAGTGCTCCGATTAATGTTACACAAATTTCGTTAAATATGAAAGTGACATTTCCGATGACTGTTAATAAATTCATGAAATATCATAATTTGAGCTGCTTTTCTAGTATTCATTTATCTGTTATATATCATTTTACAATTTTACTTTCAAGCAAAGTTTGAAGAATAGGATAACAACGAAGTTTACTAATTTATTCATACGCAAGAAAATTCTTGTTTACATATATATTAAATCTTAGACGATCGGAATTTTTCTCGAACCGTGTTGCAGATCAGTTACAAAAAAAGTTGTTCTTTAAAATAAGATCATAATAAAATCTCATTGAGCTTTATTTATAAACTAACAACTATAATGAAGGTTCTCTTTGATAAATATGACAAACGATAATATTCCTTAAAAATTATAATCCGGGTAAATTTAAATACGAAACGAAAATTTCTAATCTAGTTAAGTAAGTAAAGGCTTAAATATTGCTTCAAATGATATTCAAGATTATCTTTTTGATTGATGGTAAATGTTAGGTTCTCATGTTCCGAATTTTGTAAATCAATTCCGAGAATATTTTTATTCAAATAACTATTGATCAAAAGAGGTGAAACGATTTCGCATAGTACCTGATAAAACCTGGTATCAATTTGTTGCCGATAGTAGAAAATACATTCATTTTCGTTAGATTGAACGTTATGTTCTTTTGGTGGCTTGTTTAATAAGTATGTAACGGTATCGTAACAGATTTCCTTACAATTAACGTAATAATGACAAAAATCATTCGGTGGACGGAAAAAAAAGGTGGTAGGATGAAGAGGTATAGTGGTAAGTTGAGGAGTTTGCGTACTAGGATGAACGGCATCCGTAGTTGTCACGTGAAGAGTATTTTCGGAAGTAAGGTTCTGTTGCAGCGAGATGTTGTAGTTATTGGAGTCCGGATAAGTAGTATTGAACGGGGGTAGTGGGCTAAAAGCTTGATCCTGGTTCATGTTTAAATTGGATCGAGTATTTTTCTAGGGAATTATTTAAAAAAGTAAAGATCGAAATATTAGAAACTATTGTATGAACTGTATACTGTAGAAGAACACACACTATTGAAAATCTTACTTCACAAAAATTGCTGATCGAGTTCTTTATTTGAAGAGAAGCTTTAAGTTGAGAAAAAAAAAAGAATCTTTATATAAAATTTTGAATATTTTGTCGATCGCAAACTTACTAACATTGCATTTAATCAACTTCCTAATTGAGATTGTCTACAATGAGTATATGAAGAACCTGTTTTTTTGTGTAGCGCAAATCTTAAATGATCATGCGCACGGGGTCACAATTCCCGGACGCCAAAAATAAAGAACTATTCTAGAAGTATAAAAAAGCAAAGTATGAGGGTTATCTTTATTTCTATATAAAAATTTATTATTCTTTTACACATTATAAAGTTCGTATGACAAGTTGATTTTTATTTTATTTTTTTAATTAAAACTTTATTGGTATTGAAATAATTGCAAACGCAATATCAACGTAAGTAAATACGTTGGGTCAATGAAGTATCTATCTAATACAAAAAATTGAAATTATACTATAAAAACCTAACTATGTTGTAATACAGTCTATTTAGTATTTACTCGCTATCGCTATCTTCCCTTGCACCTTGGACGCTTGCAACACGTTTATTATTTACATTCAAAATTGCACTTTCTGTTTCTTCCTTCAAAAATCGTAGAAAGTAATATCACGTGATTTCTCGGCAAAATTATTATCCAAATAACTCCTATCGGTTATTGTTTTAACCGGAATTGGTGATCTTTCCATTTGTGATCCAAAATTTTCTGATTTTTACGCTTCCTGCCGTCTTGCTCCTGCGTGAAGAATTTTTCTTTGTTTGACCCGAGTTTTCCTTAACTTTTCTGTTCGATAAACTCGTATCATTATCCTTCTTCTGCTTTAATTTTTTTGGTAATAATTCTGACTTCTTCTTTTTCTAATTTTTTCGTCTTTCATCGTTACATCCGTTACATCAACTTCTAGTTCTCGAACAAGACTTTCCAAATCCGTAATAGTCTACTTAAATTTTTCTATTTCCTCTTTTTGAAGAAATATTATTCGTTCTTGGTTTAACATCTCTTCCAATTCACGTGACCTCATATCTTTGCTGCGGTCGGCTGGAAGAGACGAAAAATTTTCTTCGAAAAACTTCGGTAACTTTTTCCTCGGAACTTGACCATCTCATCTTATTAAAAATTTCCAAGATATAACGACTGATACGGACGAGAAACCTTCTTTGTATATCCCTATAGGTAACTCCTTCCAAGTATCTAGTTGTGCTTTAGCGGTAACCCGAAACTCTGGTACCGTCTTTGTATAATAAAAATAATGCAAACACGACTTTTCTATATTTATAAACTCCAAGTAGAACTCCTTTATAAACTTGTTTACCACCGTCACTTGCGTTAATACTGTATTATTTGACATTTTGTATATAGTTTATATATATTTTTTGTAATATATTTCTTCCATTAAAATTTGGTATGAAAGATCAGCGGAAAGAGTCCACAAGTCGATTTTTACATATAAGCATATAAAATATGAAAAACACAATCTATCTTAATATGGCAGGAATGAGGTAAAGTTCATGTGTGTGCATAATAGTATTATTGTAGTTTAGTGGCGGTTCAATTTACCATAATAAGACCGTTTTAAACACATGATATCATTCTTAACGTTAATGATAAAATAGTCAAATAATTATAAGCTTTTTTTTGAGCATCCGATGGATTATATTTTTTCATGGAATTTTTTTTTTAAAAAAAATAAGAATAGAAAGTAAAACAAAGCGAATAATTAATCACCTAATCTTGGCTAATGATGAAATAACTTAACACCACATGTAATTTTTATAATGTAATAAATATATTAACTTAGATCGAATGAATTAACCCCGAGATTATAAATATAAAATCATAAAATCATTAAAATTTTTTAAAATTTAATAAAATTTCAGAATTTTGTTCTTTGGATTTATTTATTTTTTTTTATAAAGGATTATTTAACATATTATTATAGAATATTTACAATAAACCTATTTATTTATTTTAATAAATTTACCATTATGAATATGATTAGTGTTTGAAAGAAACGTAATCTTTGGATATCAGCCCACGCAAGTAATAAGGTACCAGAGTCAGAAACAAGAAAGAAGAATCCTTTTGCCGCAAGAAGGTATACTGTATATGTTTATAAAATTAGGCAAAAGTTTATGACCTCCATAACATCAAATGAAATTGATTTCAATTTCTGACAATATCGTTTACATAATATTTTTAAAGAATATTTAGAAATAAATATTTTGATGGCTAAAAAAAATATGGTGAAAATTTAGCATAATACTTCTACGATTATTTGTGATGATTGGATCGAAGCCAAAGTATGGTCATACGGTGTTTTGATCATTGACTCAACCAGTTTAATATCTTATATTATTGTTTTGCAAGATTTAAATATTATCAGTATTTCTTCAGGTTAAATAAAATACCAGTGATGCGTACCATTGAACTTTATTAATTCCGTCAAGAGGTTATGGTAGATAAAATATTTGAAAATGTTCTTTACTATACTAACCAATTTTTAAGTTTGTCATGCGAATAACGAATAATATCAGATATGCAATATGGATAAAATTTTCTTTTTTTTTTTGATAAGTATTAGTTATTTACTGATCTAGTAGTATATAAATGGGTTATCATCCGAAGGATGATGACCCATTTATATACTAAATTAGGTCAGTAAATAACTTTTTTATCATCCTGGACACGGGCATCTAGTTGATCAGTGATCACTGATCATATAAAATAAACTATTTTAGACTTTTGTGTATTAGTGTATTTGTCAGCTTGACGAAACTTTTTTTTTCTTCTTTCCTTTAGTTTTACACGATTTTCCTCAAAAATGACAAGCAAAACTACATCAAAAGTAAGCAGTAAGCATAACAGGGCTCCCTATGAAAGACCTACACAAGAGGAAATTAAAAAATACCAAAATGCAGCAACACCAGCTGCAACTCAACGTAATACATAGATGTGGTTAAAGAGACTAAAGGAATTTCAAAATGATATTTGATATGTAGAAAATATTGAAGATATTCAATCAAAATCACAACTTTGTAATATACTCATTAAATTTATTATAAAAATGAGACCTGTTAATAAACAATACTATTCTTCAGAATCCATTTATAATTGTGTGTCAGCATTAAATCGATATTTTCAAAATCACTCAGCTATTGCACCATTAGATTTATTCAGTGAACCAGTTTTCAAACCTCTGTTAAACGTTGTGCACTCCAAAATGCGTGAGAATGAACAACTTAACAGTTTGGATATCAAGAAAGGTGCAGATCCACTTACCGAAGATGAACAAAAGCAAATATTATGTCATTCAAGTATGCGTGGTGATAATCCAGAAGGACTGCTACGTAGGGTTTTTTCTGGTTAACCAATCTTACAGCTGCCCGTGGTGGGAGTTATATTAATATTATGGCTTCTGATTTTCAAAGACGACCTGATGGAGCGAGGTTATAATTTTATAATAATACATGAAAAAAATAATCAAGGTAGACAAATTTCCATGTAGAATCTACTAACAGTGAACTTTTCTATAATAATTACTCATTTTTATTTTATGAATAAATAAGGTGGTCTAAATTCGCGTCGTAAAAAAGGTAAAACAATCCAGCCACGAATTTCTGTCATACCACCTGATGAATTTGGAACAACTAATGGACCTTGCCATGACATATCAAAATATTTACGTTTACGACCTGAAAATGCAGAATCCAACTTTTATTTACGGCCCATTAGTGATATTAAAAGTAATCTTCTTTACTGTGTATTACTTTTTTTAGTTTATGTTATTCTATAACTAATTACTCATTTAATTCTAGAAATTAATGAAGACCTATGGTATTTTCCCCTTCATCTTGGTCGGGATAAGCTAAATCAAATGCTTAAAACAATTGCTACTGAAACTGGAATTGATACTGTTAATAAAAAAATTTCAAATCATTCTACAAGAAAATCCGCTATTCAGAATTTAAATAATCAAGATGTTGATGCACATCAAATTATGGCATTTTCTGGACATCATTCTTTAGCTGGAGTCAATGCATACAGAATGCCTAATGAAAAGCAGATGATGGAAGTAACAAAAAATGCTTTTCCAGCACAATCAAATCCTTCTATCGTTGGCAAAAGCAGTACATTGGTAAATATATAAAAAGACATTTTATTTGATAATAGTACAATATTTAATTTTTATTTTTATTATAGAATACAACAAGAAGCTCTGAGTTTACAAGAAATTCTCCTATTTCAATCGAAGTGGTTTCTAAAGGTACGTAAATAATTATTATCTTTTCTATAAATAATAATTATAAATTGACATTTTACTCATTTGATATAGAAGAGCACTGTGAATCGATCATTGGTTTGAAAAGCACTAGTACTAAAGAAATTGAGAGTACAAAAGTAACTAAACGTGATAAATTTAAAACATCTTTTAAAGGTAAATTCAGGTCGCCTCTTATAGATTTAAATAAGAAAGTACCAAGTGATGACTCTCAATCTTCTCAAAATATGACTCTTGATTTGGAGGGAATGAAAGTTCATATCACTAATTGTAATGTATCTATAAATATTAGTAAAAATTGAACGTGAATGTATTAAAATGTATTATAATAATAGCAAACCAATAAAAATTAATAAATTGTAACTATTCAATTAAACTATAATTACTATAGCTTATCATACTGGTTAAATAGTTTATAAACGGCGAAAAAAATACTAGATGCCCATTAGTGGCCAGGTGATAATATCTGTTATAAACATATTTGCATATTCCTATTTTTAAAAAAGAAGAATACAAAAATAAACATCATCTGGATCGAAAAAAATAAACCCGAACGATTAGTACTTGTAAAAACTTACCTAAAGAAAAACTATTTAACATATCTATCTAATTTAAGCGTTTCCCATTCTTTTCGTGAAAAATCCACTCAGCTAATTTCTCATTTGAAATCGGTAACGTTTTCTTTGCTATCGACTTCTTTAACAGCTTTATGACTCTAACTCCATATCTTTTCCGCAGATTTTACCATTTTTCTCATTTTTCTTCTCTTGAAAACTTTATTAATACTATCAATTCACCATTGATCTGAAGAATGTACCAAAAGCGAAAACGTATCCTTTTTCTCATAAATCACAAATTATCCGCTTTCGTCACAGTATCTTCGGATATTATTAATTTTGAGGTACAGTATTATATTTAATTTGACTGTACAAAGTTTTTGAAGTGGTTGCGGTCGAAATGACGTTAAATTATTGGGCTAACTATCCGAGTGAACAATTGCGGTCCGAAATGATGACGTTTGCTTGAGATGACGTTAAATTTATCCTGAACAATTTTATTGGTTAATTTATTTAATTAAGTAATGATCCATAAATTTGCGTAGTAAAGCAATTTAGAAAATCCAATTATGTAAATCATTAGGGGAACGATTCAATCGATTCATTTAGGTTATGTAGACCTGGACTATTTTTAGTAACTATAATACTTTATTTTCTTCCTTTCTTCAGATTATTGTAAATTAATAAATGTTGTTATATTTATGATTTAATTTCTGAATTACTTGTTTAATAACCAATTATTTTGTTAAAAGTTTATAAAAAGGTCAAAAAGTATCAAAATATATATGACTAAATTTCTTTGTGATGCAGCCTAAATCATTCAATTTAGTTTTATTTAAACGTTTTTCAGAATTTATGGTAAATAAGTTTGATTGGTAACGCGAGATGATTAATAATTGTAGCTTAAAAAAACGTAAATAGTTTATCAGAATAATCAGAATAATTAGAATCAGTATAATTAGTAATATATGACTTTATTTCTCAATTCTTATTATTTACGTTATAACTAACTTGTTTATAAATTTTGTTAAATTTCTAGAATAACAAAAAAATACACGATTTGAATGATTTAAATGTTAAGAATTCTTTCTCTTTTATGATACTAAGTCACATAATTGATAATAATAATAATTACTATGTATAAATATTGTTAAGTTTTAAATTTGTTATTTAATACATTTATCAAATAAAAATAATGAAATTCGATTTAATACTATAAATTCTATAAATCATAATTAATCCTTGATATATAAAACGGTTACCATAAATCCTTATATATTTATTAAATCTTACAATCATCTAGTAAATAAATATAAATATTATAAATTTAATTAATATGTACAATTGTAAACAAATGTTTTCACAGCATTATTTCATATACTGTACCGAAGTTTTCATTTATCTCATCATCATCAATTATAATTTTGTAACTCAATAAATCTTGTGCTAAATGTTCATTTAATTTAGCCGAATAAGTAATTTTTCTACTGGCATAACAAGAATTTGGATGATATGTAATTTTCGGTTCATTTTCTAAAAATAATCAATAAAATAAGTAAAATGCAAATTTGTATTAAAGATTAAATCTATAATTACCAGGTATAGGTACTCTTTTTTCATCGTCATTTTCAGGTGGATATTTAAAAAGCCATATCGCAAATTTAAATTTACATTCACTAGCAGTTTGTCTTTTTTTAGGATCATTATCCCAACATCTTTTCATAAATTCAACATATTCTAGCACAGTTCCTTCTGCGATTTTTGGTCTTATGCCTTCACAAATATCTAAATGAAGTTGAAAATCATAAGAAACATTATAAAATGCTGGAGTTCCTGATGCCAATTCCCACATTATAATGCCCAAACTATATATATCAGCAGCTTTTGTATATGGGTTACCACGTAAAACTTCCGGCGCCATATAAGGAAGAACTCCATATATCTCATCTTTCGTATTAGATCGATTAACTGGTCCACATAATCCAAGGTCACTAGTATATGCAATTCCTTTCCCCGCATACAATATATTTCCACTATGAAAATCCCCATGAACAAGATCTGAGTCATGAATTGCTTCAAGCACTATTGAAATAGCGAATAAAATTCTAAATTTATCATTTGGGTTATATTTTATTCCTGGTAAATTATTTCTTAAATTTCCTGGTAGTAGATAAATTATAGCCATATAATTTAATGTATCTGGATGCTGAGTTATTCCAAGTACTGGGATAATATAAGAACCTTCTGATCCTACTTTATGTTGGCACTTCAAATATAATTTCCACTGTATTTATTTTTTAAAAAAATATTTATTATTATTTTAAATTAAACACTTTTATAATTAATATTGAATAATCGCTTACCTCATTTAAGAAATCCTCAGTAATATTTGCAGAATCATTTAAGCTTTTAATTGCTACAAGGAAGCCATAATTTTCACTATTACAATGATAATTTTCATCTTTATACATTGTACGTTTCCAATCTTGTTTTTCATAATCCCATTGTTCAATAAGACCATCTAACCAAAGTCCTTTGTATACAGTGCTAAATCCACCTTGTGCAAGAAATTGAATATGTCTTAATCTATTATAAGGAATCCATTCAAGTAACTCAAAATTATTTCTTGCATTTAATTGTGATTCTTGAATTAATTTATCAATACATTCATTTCCACTAGTCCAATTACCAAAATTTTGTTGAAATCTTTTGGAATTACATTCTTTGCACCAATTAAGACTTGTATTTGGTTGATTACATTCAGGGCACAAACCATGTGTTTGATTAAGTATTATATCTTCATAAACACCTGAATCGCCATCAGAAAAATCATTTAAGGTCACAGTATTAACTTTATTGGCGACCTTGTCCTCTTCATTAATATTCTCATCTTTTGAATGAGTATTATTGATTTTTGAAGGTTCCATAATTAATTAGCATCAAAGTTTAGTAATATTTGAAGTTATATATATACACGCACAATATATAAACGAGATGGTGATACGATACGACAAACTTATGTGTCATCTGATCCCAATGAAGTTCTTAGCATTAAGTTTGATAATATTTGACACACACGCAACATATAAGCGTTATAATGTTTCAGATGGTGATACGATACGACAAACTTATGTGTCATCTGATCCTGGTGATCCAAATAAATAGCATTAAAATTTAATAATATTTGAAGTTACATCACACACGCGCAACATATAAACGTTAAAATGTTTCAGATGGTGATACGATACGACAAACTTATGTGTCATCTGATCCCGGTGATCCAAATAATAATATATTAAAATTTTAGTGCAATGTTTCTAATTTTAGCCATAAAATGTCTATTTAATCCAAAATTATGTAAGATCACAATATCGAACTTGGGTTTCCAATTCGGTTCTTGATTATACTTTTAAAATCGTCAAAAAAAAAAAAATTATGAGTGATCGACAAAATGATCGACTTTGTGATTTCGACTAAATTCGGGTCTGTTGATCATAGAATTGATTAGAGAGAGAGCCAATTCTGGAGTCCGGACATTGCAGAAATTTTTAAAATCGAAACCATATTGTGACCAAGTCGAAATTTTATCATAGACCTTATAACCAAGGCTTGGTCACGATATGGTCTCACATCGTTACAATAAGTTTAAGTCAATCGTATGTATAAAGTTGATGCATATTAAGGAGATCGTCACCTGATCTAATCGGATCGTAGTCATCGTACAAAAATAGTATTGAAATCACAAAATACAAATTAAAGTTATAATTAACGCATATTTAAGTTGTAATAAATAGATATTAAAGTGATATTAAAGTTAACGCAAACATATATATAATTTATGTTGAATAGATAATAAAGTTAAAGTAAATGTACATTCAATTTATATTGAATAAATATTAAAGTGATAGTAAAGTTATATAATAAATTTATTTTGAAGCTGTAAATAAGTTGTAAAGTATCTTACAAACTAATAGTAGAGTGTTCTATTCTAAATCTAATCGTAAATGTAAATTGATGTAAAATGTTATATCGATAATAAACATTAAATGGTTTTGAAAAAATATAAACTTCGCATATGCAAATCATTTCTGATCGCCTCCGATGCTAAGCCATCTAAAAAAAGAATAATGAGATATTAGTAAACATGCTCGTAAAATAATAAAGAAAAAAAAGAAAATTACTTACCAAAATTTCACGTTCAAAACGCCAAGGAACAAACCGTTTTTAAAAAAAAAGAAAAATTAGTACCGTATTTTGCGGTAAGTAAGCACCCCCCGAAAGTAAGCACCCCTGGCCAGAATTATGGCGATTTTGGCCAAAATTATGAGGATCTTGGCCAGCATCAAGTGCAAAAAAGGGGTGCTTATATACCGCAAAATACGGTAATTGTAGAAAATTTTGTATACTGCTCACCAAAATCCCACGTCCAATGAACCAAAGAACACCTAAAAAAAATATAAAATAACTATAAAAAAGAAATAAAATGAAACATTTAATAAACGATTCATTGAAAATTTTTTTTAAAAAATAATATTCACATCCGAAGAACCCAATTTCAGCTATCCGATATTTTTTGTTAGCAACAACTGAGGAAGATCGTCTAAAAAAAGAAAAAACAAGTCTGCCAAAGTCTCTACAAAAAAAGAGAAATGAAAGAAAAAGCAAATTCACAACGAAACTTACTCTTTCTTTTAATTTCGATGACTGGCCAACCGGGACCTATAAAGAAATAAAAAAAAAGTAATAAAAACATTTTTTCAAAGTCTTCAAATTATTTTCAAAAACTTACCCGATTCTGTCATATCTGAGTTGGCTTACAAAAGAGTAAAAAAAGTTAGAAAACTTTTTTTTTGAAATTTCAAAAAAGAAAATTTGAAATTTAAAAGTTGAGAATCCAAACTTTGGATCATTTTCCTAAAAAAAAAATAAAGAAAAACGTTAAAAAAAATGTTTTTCCTTTTTGAAGTTTTGCAGTACCAACTTCGGAGCCAATTTTCTAAAAAATAAAGAAACGTTAAAAAAAGTTTTTCTTAAGTTTCAAAAAATTCAAAACTTACCTATCAGGATTTCAGTATCCAAATCAGAATCAATTTCCCTAAAAAATTGAACTGAAAACATTAAACTTTTTTTTTTTTAAGTTTCGAAAAGAAAGTTTTGAAAAAACTCAAAACTTACTTGAAATGTTTACTTTGGAGCCAATTTCTACAAAAAGAGAAAAATTTTAAAAAATGTATTTTTTAAAGAGAGTTTTACTCTTTTCAGAATCTCATGTTATTAAGATGATTAGGATGATATGTAGGAGAATATGTGTTATTAGGATGATTAGGAATGAAAATAAGATTCAAATCATCAAATGTACTGTTCAATATGATTATAAAGTGAAAGTTATTTTCATCTTGAATAACTCCTGTTTCTTTTTCTGGGAGGTATATATAAGAAGACTAAATAGTTATAAGGAAAAATAACGAGAGAGAAAAAGAAAGAGGTTCAAAAATTATTTGGCATAGTAATTTAGACTTTTATAAACATTAAGCGTAGTAATTTAGACTTTTATAGAAATGTGAGTACAAATTAGACTATATAGTAATAGTAAATTTAAGTTTAGACTTTTACAGTAAAATTAAGCGTAGTAATTTAGACTTTTACAGAAATGCGAGTACAAGTCTAATATATATATTTATGACTTTTCCATAGGTCGCAATTGTTATATTGAACGAAAATTTTATACGTATATTATTTTTTACATTATAAAATATTTTAACTTCAATTTTTCCTTAGTATTTAAAAAATACTACAAACGAAGTACGAACATAAAAATATAAAATAAATTAAAATGATATTTTTAAGTAATTTATTTTAAGTGATTTGTAATCATTAAATATTCCATATGAAATAAACTTTTTTCTTTTAACTTTTATTTGAATAATTCTTTTAAATTATTTTTCTTGTATACCTTTCAATAAATTTTACGCGACACATCATTGTAGTATCACTGTCATTTTTAAAAAAAATGCTTTGAAGTTGATATGCTTCTCATAATGTTTAGCGTAACTATATTAGACCACGATAAATCACATTTAACTATTCCGCAAGTACTTTAGCAACAAATAAAGAACTTCCGAACAGATGGTAAATATTATTGCTTTGCTATTTTAAGATATATTGAATGTATATTTTTTTCAGCAATATTTTATTTCTAGAGGACGTTATGGCTACCACTAGAAATAATGGTCATACCAAAATGGATATTTATTAAGAAGATGAAGAAATGACAGAAGCTGATGATATAGAAATGATAAAATAAGCGAAGATTTGAGTCTTACTAACCATTTATTACTTTCTTTTTTTTAGACGGTTATTTTTTAGGTCTTTGGGTTAGGACGTGTAGAATTTCGCATTATATTTAGTGTCTTATTTTAAATTATTCTTTTAATAAAACGTTTCTTGTTTCTCTCCTTTCACGGATTACAGGTATTTGATTGTATGGGAATTCAGTAGGTGTTCATGAAACATTTACTAATTTTTTTTTGACAGCCACTCTTTGGGTCTCTCTGGATCTCTTTGGGCATATTGGTTTTCATATTTTGGTAAGTATTATTTTCCTTTATTTATTTATATTAATAAACAATTACTCAACTTCGTTCTTTTTTTCTTAGATAGTTTCTTCTAGTTTCTCTATGCAAGATTTTAGAGAGTTTTTTTGTTTTCTTTTAATACTAACAAGGTAAATTGAAAGAAGTATTATTTTGTTTGTTTTATTCAAGGAATTTACTAATATGACTAAGTATCTTATATTGATAACTATACTTAGTTTTTATTAGCAATGCAAACATTCTTGGTTTTTTAGTATAAACTGACTTGAGGTTAAGGGGTCATAAGCTTTCTCACCAGCTGGCAAAGTGTATGAAGTTTCTTTAATTCACAAAGAAAGCCTTGCTAAAGTCATCTTTAGCGTAGGTCTAGTAATACATTGCCTTAATTGAGCGTGGCTACGAAGTTTATGATTCTCCAACTACAGTATATATATATATCAATTACGTTTAATTATACCATTTATTTTACTATTTAAATTTAAATGCTCACTAGCAATTTGACAAACCACTTTAAAATGTATAACAAAAAATTTTGTAACAGATAGATATTTAACATTTATAGTAAAATGATTTGTACAATACATGATCGTTAGGCGTACTAATTATATTGTATTGTAGCATTATTCTATTATTACGGTATATTTTTTAGATTATTAATATTAAAATAGTATAATTATATAGAATTTATAAATGATAGTTTATAATCGGCTTTTTATTAAATGAAATTATTGAAATTTATTACATAACTTTATTAATAAACAAAAAAGTAAAGAAACCGTTAAATAAATGTCTAATGCATCGAAAAAATGTATTATATTAATTGTTTCAGCTAATTTTCGATGATATTTACTATCTATTTAAGACTATGTTACAACTTCAAAAAGACTTCGTATTAGTGTGTCATCGACGGTTTCACGAGATAGTCTGACACTATAATTATCACGTGTCCGATACTAGATCGTTATAATTTGATAGCGATCACTTAACTGTATGGTAGCAAATCACGGGTTTCTGCAAAGTAATTATATCACATGTATAAAATGAAACAAAAATTAAAGAAATTTATGATTATTTAAAAAATAATCAAATAGATATAGATACATCATATAAAAGACCTTTATTTAATTATATTAATTTTTGTAAATATTTAAATTTAGGTTCAATTATGAAGATAACAAAAATTATTGATGATTCATCTGAAAGATTAATTATTTTAAAAATATGAAATATTTAACTTTTCATTAATAAAAATGTAAAAATAATCTTTATATACCCAAACAATTTAGTTATCAAATATATCTTATTCTATTTTGAAAAACTTGAATCTCTTTAATTGTTGTAATAATATAGATAATAATATATTAACTGGATTAATGGCAGTTTGTAAATCAATTATAGAGGTGAAACTTTATTTCGAACAATTTGAAAATAATATGAAATTTCTAGATTAATCGAAACTCAAAAAAAAATTGTACAATATTCATTTCAGATTCGATTATGGATGTTGTTTCTCACAAGATGAACCATTTTGTAACACTTTGTAACACTCTTGAAAACTCTTTAATAAACATGCAAATTCTATTCAATATTTCACAAGATTTAGACCATTTACCACGGAAATTCTCTCATCATTAGTAAATTTAAAAGAATTAAATTTGCATGGTAAATGTTCAACTCAACAAAGTAAATAGAATTATTTAGAGTTTTTATAATTGCCTCATTTACAATTTTTGGAAGTTTATAGAATTCCAAACAAATATACAATAAATTTAATTGGGAGTACAAAAGGATTACTTATTGAATAAAAATTTTTGATTATATTTATTCTGTTAATGAGGATGAAAGAAGTGAAAGATTATTCGGGTTATTTATAAAAATTGTCAAAATTTTAAATATCTAACATTATTATTGATTGAAGAAGATACAAATATTTTAGAAAAGAAAAATTATTAATTAATTGTCAAAATTTAAATGGATTACAATTTGTATTAAAAGATGAAATTGATTGGGATAATTTATTTAAAGTATTATCAAAATCATCACCAATAGTTTATTTAAATTTATTTTTAAAAATTATAGTCCAATTAAATTTGAGTCCTTAAAATTATTTCTTAATAACTGGAAAGGTGTAACCGTGTAATTCCTATAATATTAGTATATTACAATTATATATTATGGATACAGGAATAAGAAATTTGTTAGAAAAATATGAAGCAGAAGAAATAGTAGTTCATTTAAATGGTTGGTAATGTTCTAATTTAAATTTTACGATTGATTTGTGTAGAATTTTTTTTTTTAATAAAATAAGATTTAATATGTATTGATATTCGTAAATTGAATTTATTTTTATAAAAATATCTATTTTTTCTTAAAGCCATTTAAGTATTCTTTTCTCAGTCTTTAATCAGTCCTTTTACATTTGGTATAAGAAGTAACATTAAAAAGATATTATTATATCGAAATTTCCAAAATGGGTGTCTTTATTAGTTTAATTCAACAAACATCACATGATAAAAATTTGATACTAAACGCTATAAACGTAACTTTTAAAGCCAAATTCTATACTCGAATCATAAATTTTTACATTTAAGAAAAAAAATAACAAGTATAGGTACAAATTAACGAAACTAGTTAATATCATAATAGTAGTATTTACTGAAACCCAAACAATATCGTTAAGATCATCTTAACAACCCCGTTTTGATATTGTAACAATATCAAACTGATAAACAATTTCATTACAATATCATCATGATATCACTTATCGTTACGATATTGCATCGACATTTTTTTGATATCTTATGATAAATATCAAAACAAGATCGTTAAGATAATCTTAACGATATCGTTAATAATATCACTATTTTGATATTGAAGTGATATCGTTTAAAATAATGAAATTTCTGTAAAGTATTCAGTTCTCTTCAATAGTATCGGTTCATAATAAAACTGAACCAAGTGAGTTGACCACATCCCTAGGTGTCCCCGTCTAATATACTCCAACAAAGACCATTGTAATGCGGAGTGACATCAGAGCCATAAAACTCCAATCAAACTATCCTACGATATGGTTAACAAATTACAAAACAATAAAAATAAAATTAACTAAACTACGAACAATTCCAC